GCGTCAACTTCCGCCGCGCGACAAGAGTTGCCACGTTCTGTGTGCGGGAACCATAAAGGTCGTCATGTCCTCTCTCAGGTTTCTCTTTGGTACAGGAATAGAACAAACCTCTGAAGCGCTGCTCACGCAGAAGTACTCATCTCAATTACATTCGCGCCAAAAATACAAATTTTACTAGAAAATTCTTAAAACTTAAAAATTCTCTCTTAAATTTCTACTTATAATAAAATATTAAATTATATAACATATTTAATCATCTGACAAATATACAAATGTTTATAAAAATGTTTTATTTCGCTCAGGAGGATACAAACATTATTGTAAATCTCTAGCAATTTGTAAACTCTAGGACTGTTTTAATCTTTGGCGATTAGATTTGTCTCCCACTGTTCTATCACGAGGGTCATTCTGCAGATACATGTAATAGTACAGCATCCAACAATAAGTTATACCAATAGCGCAGTATATAGAAGTAAATGCTAATGGTAAGAATGGCAGTTTGTCGCCGAGCAACAATTTATGCAGTGCCACTTCGTAGACCGTAACTAGTGGCAGCGGGATTACGTACAGCCATTCATGTAATCGTAATAGAGGCCTGCCGTGGTGATTAGTCAAGATTAAAATCGATGAAAGCATATACGCCAGTGACAACAGTAATTTCAGAGAAGACAAGTTATCGGGATATAGCAATGGCAAAAGAGCAGTTTGTCCAGCACTGCTTAAAATAATGAATATGCGCGCATCTTCCGCATGTAGTGCTGCGAGGACGCTAAAATTATAAAATATACTATTATTATATTTTTAGCTACAAATAAATACGTATTTCATATAAATACATATTTATTATAAATATATAAAATAATAAAACAGTAACCTTTATATGAGTTTAATACTTATTATATAACAAAGTCTGATGAAACAGACTTTTGATTGGTCTGTCGTTTTTGTCAACTTTAATAAATTAGAATGTAAGATAATATAAGTTTGAATGAAATACTATATGTATATAAAAAAAATTGTTTATATGTTCTTCTTTCTCACTCTTGTTTTAACAATTTTTCGTGGCCTGACTTTTTTTTTTATAAGCTGTATAGGACTTACCACAAAGGAATAATTGCGGTTAATATAGCTTTCTCATGTACGTGCCAGCCAAACATGAATGAACTTAAGGCACATAGTACAATGCACTTAATAAAATCTTTCGAGTTCACGTAAGGCTTTTTATATAGACACCATAATGCAGGCTAAAATAATTATATATTAGTTGTTTAATCTATCCGCATGCGCGCGCACGTGTGTGTGTACGGGTAAAAACATAACAAAAAAAAACAGTAAAATATATTTAGGGATCGATTCTGTAACTTTTAATGACATTGATGTCATTGCACAGATATTATGTAGAGTAAAAAAGCTGCGCAATGACATCAACGACTGTTGTTAAGAAATACAGAATCGACCTCTTAATACAGAAAAACAATTGAATCACTATGTGCTGATAAACTTACGAGCATTATCACAAAAGTCAGAAAAAATGTAATGATAGGGGTCGGAGTGGGTAATATAAGGAAGTTCTGTTCTTGCACCAGGCCACCCGTCATTACTGCAGATTTAACATCTTTTAACCATCCTAAACGTTTCCATATCACAGATAGCACTTTATCGACGCCAATATATAGGGCCCAACTGTTCGCAGCCCAATATGAATGCACCAGGCCCCTTTTAAATGGAAATAAACGGGAAATTACCTAATAAAAATATACATATATATATATATATATATATATGTAAATATAAATGGAAATGTATTCTGTGCAATTATATAAATATTACCTGTGATAACTGAGTTCTGAATGGACCAAAAGACACTGCTAGAACAGTCAGAACGATAAGTCCAAGACTAAATAACCGCCTGAAGAACTTTCCACTGTTCAGACAATGTGATTTTAGTAGCCAGATAGTGTATGCTGGTGCCACATATACATATAAATGTTTTAGATTTAATAAAATGGAAAACCACATAGCACCATTATGTACAGCACAAACCGTCATCTAAAAACGAGCTACTTTACTATAAGTAAATTCTACAGTATATTACAAAATTTACCTCTTTGCCAGTCTTCGAAACGTTTGCCACGGATATCAACAGAATGCCAAGCAAAAAGCCGTTGTATTGGAAATGTATATGATCGACTATCAACAATCCTATATTGCATAATGACAGAAATACGAAAACTATGTGATTGTTCAAAGACTTGCAAAATGTCCTACTCATTCTGCAAAAAAAGAAACACTTAGATTTAGATTTATATCGCAGAAAAATTTCTACAGTATATATAGGGGATAGCTTACAGTATATATAGGGAATATAAAATAATGTGACTACCTGAGAAATATATTTTATCTATACTTATTTTACATCAAATCTTTTATAAATACGATAGAGAACACCATCATTGTCAAAGATGTTTCAAATAATACAATATATCTTTATTAAATTCATTTATTTCAGATATGATTGCGCACCGATAACTTTCGGACTTTCAACACAATCTGAAATGCTAATAATCCCCCCTAAATTAAATTAGAAAAACTGTAAAGAATTTATTGCAAAAAATATTACCTCAGCCAAGGTTCGAATCTGGGACCTCTCGACTTTTCGGGGCGAGTGTCTTAGCCAACTCGATCACTGAGGCTTCTAGTTGTTTTATTAATAAGAATTTTGTCTACTATTTGTTTTTAATATATAGAGTTTAGAATAGAGTCATCTTTGAATACTGTAGCAACTGCTACAATAATATTATATAGTTCTTCTAACAGAACATCTTCTAATTACTTAAAAGATATTAAAGAGGAAATTGTTTCAGAAATTGATTTCTCGATTGCTTCTCACTCTGCTCTTCAAAAAATTACAAATAATTTAAATCGGACGTCTGTATTGACCAGGAAAAATGTTTTGAAAAACAAAGAGCAATTTTGGAAAATAGAGTGGGAAGAAAATTTCATTTTCCAATATCATTTGTATAAGAAATAATATTTTTCTAAAGAAAAAAGATATTCTACTAAAAGAATAGTACAATATTCCATAGTTAATTATTCAAGCACTGAGTGATTCAAGGATGAAAAATGAAAAGCAAATGCAACTAATCTCTTATTAAAGTAGGGAAGTAAATAATATACTTCTTAAGTTCATATTATTTAGTCTATTCTCTGTATAGCTTTAAAAAATTAATCTTTTTTCTACGGAAATATAACTTTTTCAAGAAAGATTTATTTAATAAAAAGAATTGAATTTAGAACAGTAATGAATTACTATTCGATCTCTTAATTGACAGTCGTAATAATTTTTCTCTGATTACATTCATCAAAATCACTATCATTTTATCGGAATATCTAATTGATGTTATATTACTTGACGTTACAGCAAAAAATTTTTACTGATTGATGCGTTTATACTACTTTATCTGTCAATTGACACTGTCTGTATCTTACTTCTGAATCTTTTCTGGGAATTCACACTATTGTGACAAGATGATCAATCTACAAATTCTTGTGAATTTATAATACGTGATAACTACGACTCACCAATATTTATATATACTCAACAATATTTATATATACTTTATGCATTAATTCTATTATGAGTTAACAATGGTTAATTTTATATTTGTTTTAATTTGCATTGAAAAGAATCGAACATTGGTTGAAATGTCTGCACAGTTAATAATTTTCTAATATATTATAATAAATAAATTCTTATGTACTGACAACTGCATTGGCTCTTAATTGGCTTTTTCAATTCTTTTGATTAGATTTATTTTTAGAGTCTTATTATATATCATTTATATTTATTTAATAACAATAAGTTAAAGATCTTTTTAATCGCTATATGAAGGTTGTTAATATAATTAAATAAATTTCGTACTTACTCTCTTACTCCATAAGCAAATATCAGATCGGCAAATATAACGGTGCCTCTCTGGAAATATATAGTAGCTGATGAGGCATAATTCAAATTCTCCACTTTAAGCATTTCCGGATCGAAAAATGCAGCCACTTGGCTAAGGCAGTACTCAAACCATGCAAATAGAGGTGGATAATCAAGAGTCCAAGGAGATTGTGCATTCACATACCACTCTGCAACAGGTAGACTATATGTGATGGCCAGCCAATTGCGATGTACCTCAAAATCAGTAGAGCGACTGTAAAAAAACAGATGTAAACCTTCAATATAAATAATATTGCCACAAATAGGCCAGCAAAGAGACTGTCCAAAATGTCTGCTTACTAAGTAGGAATTAGGAGAATCTTAATGCAGGTGATCAAAAGAAAGGTCTTTAAAAGTACATTGTTGGCCCTCCAAAAAACAGAGGAGGAGAATGAGGAAGAAGAAACACCCTTTCCATCTTGTTTCCCTTGAATTTCTGTTGAAATGTTTTTTTCCTCGATGGACATGTTAACTTTAAGAGAGTAGATGTGGCAGCCACTGTATGTTTAGGTATAGTTCTTTAAAATTTTATTCTAAAAAAGGAAAATAAAAAGTATTACCCAGAAGTCTCAAAGTTCACTATTTTCTTCTATCTCATAAAGATAATGTAAAATTAACTGTGATATATAATAATAAAAAATACGAATAATAAAATCTCACATAAAATTAAAATCTTTTTGAGGTGTTCTAAGCACTTCATTTATCAACTTGCGTATCTTTACCAGAATTATGTGTTAAGGCGCAAAATATGATAATTTATATCACTGACGAGAATAGTATCTATCGATGTTTACGCGTATAAAATGTAAACTACGTGTCATCTATGTAAACAATCTATAATATGAATCATTGAACTATCTATCTATTTAAAATTTAATTAAACTTACACCTTGTTATTTATTAGCGTCAATCGCGATAATTCTCGATGCATTCCGTAATTATAATAGACTTCAGGCGTAACAAACATTCAAAAATATTGCGAGCATATGTGGCGCAATATAACGAAGTAAGGTTAGGAGTTACGACGCGTGGTGCGATGACAATTTTAGGTTAGGTTCGACAGAGAACAACAGAAAATTGGACTCGGACGGAACTGCCGAGCTATGATAGTTTCCGGGTTATCGCCGGCTCTACGTAAGGTTGTGCATCTTGCTCAGAGCTTCAGTCGGTATCGCACGACCGATCAGTGTCGAATGTTTAATAAATGGCCGGAGACTGACAGCAACGACAATAAAAAGCCGCGACCAAAAACAGAGCCGATTCCGAAAATCACACTCTTGTCGCTGGACAACTCTACCATTGTGACCGTGCTGGAAGTGGCTCAGCGTTTGGCGAAAAGGCGCAACCTTACCCTCATTAAGGTCAGCGACCTCGAAGATAAGACGCAACGACCGCTTTATAAGTTAGTGAAGACCGCCAACCTTCTCGAGGAGATCGAAGATACTCAGGATACCGACAAGACCGCGCAGAAGTCGAGCAAGATCATTAAATTATTCTACATATCCGCGAAGATCACTGAACATGACTTATGGACGAAGACGAAGAACATGATGAAATTGTTGAACAAGGGTCACAAAGTCAAGGTTGCCATCACTCTGGACGGTGCCGACGGAGTGAGTTCTATGATTTTTTCTCTGCTTCTTGGTATATAACTGATCAGCAAAAAATTATTATCAAGAGAATTATCAGATAAAAATACAATAACGAAGAATTTCGTTATTGCAATATTAAATATCTATAAAAACCAACACCAACTATTTATGTACAATAAAGTCTTTATTGTACATATTCAAAAACAATTAATTTAATTTAATTGCTTCTGGATAATATTTAATAAATTAATTTAATTGTATTTGAATAGTCTGTAATAAAGATTTTATATGTAAATATATTATGCACAAACAACTGGTGTCAACTCTTATAATTTACACTTATTCATTTTATTTTCTCTATGAACATTTTTCTTCTTTTGATATTCTAATCTTATCAATTGTTTAAATAGTAATTAAATCTTTAATAAAAATTTTTCTTAGAATTTTTCATATAATATTTATTCATTTATGTAAATTTCAAAACTTTAGAATTTCTGAATTTTACAATTTTTTAAGAAAATTTTTTAGATTTTTTTAAATACAAATTGGAATTGGTTTTTTGTAGTATTTTGAAGTATTTAACAAATTTAATTACTTTTTAGAAGCTTTGAGAAATATTTACGTCTTTTCTAGAATTCTTCTATGTGTTATATTCTAAAATATTCCAAGATTTCTCTCATTTTATAACTTCTGATAAAATCTTATAAAATCTGAAAAAAATTTAAGGCATTTTTTTTTATTATGGAATGTGAGAAATCTTAGAAATCTTAGAATATTTCAGAATTTGTATATGAAAATTTCTAAGAAAGATATAGACTTTCTCAGTATTTCTGAAAAGTATTCCAATTCATATAAAAAAATGTTGGAAAAATTTTCATCAAGGATGATAATCTATATAAATGATAATTTTTAAGATAATTGTTTTAAAGTATAATAAAAGTAAAAATATAATATTTAAGCAAACAATGTTGAGATAAAAAACTTCATGAAAAACATTTATTTAATTACATGCAAGTTTTTTCATTTAACATATAGGGTAAGATGCAAAGAGTCATCGAGGATGCTGTAAAAAATGATGGCAGTATCCAACGAATGTCATCAAAGAAGAATGTAATTTTACTCTTAATAAATCCTTCACATAAGAATGAAGATGTTTCTATAAATAATAAAAATGAGACTAACAATTTCAGTTAATAATGAAAGAGGTACGTGAGATTTATTGAATGATATAAATATAGACAGATGAAATCAGAATTTATTGTTGTTGACACATGCAAAAAAAATTAATCCTTTATGTAATTAAATTATAATAATATAATAATATGTGTATGTATATATAATGTGAATACACTTATAGTGATTATATTTTGAATATATTATATTATAATGGATTTACAAAAGAATAACAGGTAAATAGCTTTTTTGTACCATACCTACGATATCATTATTGTCAATGAAGAGAATTCCATGTTAATAAAACTTCCCGTTACGCGTCAAACAAACTTAGACTTACTGTCTATCGAACTACTGATATGTCTACAGGTCTGTTTTTTATTCCTGCACTAGACTGCACTTTAATCACTCTCTTTTTCGCTTTTGCCAAATATCAAACATCTCACTTAGAGTTCCAAATCTATCTTACTTTGAGTTCCAAAATTGTAAACTAGTCCAGCTACAAAAAACAGACTCAAAAATCGCATTTTACAATAGTATTTTAAAATATCGTGGTTCTCAGTTTTTAACTGAAGCTGTTATACAAACTTTGGTCTTACAATGAGATCTGTAATGCGTGATAAATGCTACAAATATGACGATACGCGTATAAATAAATGTCATTACGAGTGGTCGTCTTCGTATTTTACTACCCGCGCTAGAAAGGAGCAACACTCTTTTAATATTAATATTATTATGCCGCGGTTATATTCTGATTTTACCCTTTTGCTATCATTAGATAGATATCAAATGATTTGTTTTTGCCTTTCGCGAAAAACTATTATGACTATTCGATATTATTTTATTATGGGTATGAATAATTACAAAAATTCGAACGTTTCTTCTTTTCTAAGCACAACTGATGTGACGTATTGGAATGCAAATCCATTTTGTCTTAACTTAATATCATGTTGGGAAAGAACCTTCATGTGTTACATCTTTAAGATAAATAAAGTTATACGAAATATTAAGTAATTCAGCATTGGCACGATAAGTATCGCAAAATGATTTTCCTGTGCGTAGTAAATTACACTGGAGGACAGAGAACATGAATGTAGAGAGAAACAATTCCAAAACCCTTTTTTTTCATTACAGTTATTACAGAAGAACATTACATGAACTTCTGTTCTCTATACTGAAAAAAATTATTAAATATTATCTTAATATATCTTAATACATATCTTTATAATAGTACCAATAATAACATTTAAGTAAACATTTAAACTTACAATAAATAAATATTTATTTAATAAAAAAATGACAGTTAAATCAAAGTAATGGTTTTTGTATCGAATAAATGTACATTTAGTAAAATTTACTTAGAATTATTCAAAACAAATATTAAAAAATTTTTTTAATTTTATTTTTTTTCAATGTATAAAAAATAATTAGCAAATCGTGCAATGCGTCTTAAGTACTATATATAGTTAAATGTTGGTTCAAATCGTGTAGTTTCTATATTACAAGATAGAGAAATCGATTTTTCTATTTTACAGTCACATTCAAATAATTCCTTTTTCTGTTTCTTTAAAGTAATATTTACTTTTATTGATTTTGAATTAATAAAAATCCATATTTTTTGTTCTTTCTCAGAAAATTAAATTTAATATGTAAATCAAAAAAGATAATTGTATTTTAAAATAAACGTATATTAATTAAATTAACTTCAGAATCTAAAATATCTTTAACTTTGCTATCAAATGAAATATGTACTTTGTCATATCATTCGCTGTTTCCCTGATTTTTATCTCATAAATTCTATTTTTGCTATAAAAACAACAAACATCCGCTCAAATCATCCGATAAAGTTGTGTCGTCCAGTGTTATTCTTATTCTCTGATATAATTTCATTACCTCTATTCCTAAATATGCTTCGAGATTTCAACCGCGTGACATCTAAGAGGGAGTGTCACTCATAATCAGTCTAGTCATATAAATTCCGACGTTCGAAACAGAACGCACCACTATCGATTAACTAGCTACAAGATTGTGAAAACGTTACGCTCGTCTATTGCGGACAATCCACCTTGCGGCACTTCTTGAATTCCACCAAAGTTGGACAGAGTTTGGCCCAGGCTCCTCTCGGTTTCACTGTTATACTTCTGACTCTGCTTCGTAACCCCTCGTCGCAGGTCGCACTGCACTTTGACCACGTTGACCACGGTGTCACTTTACAATTCACTGTAACTTTACGAACGAGATGATTAGACAAACAAAACTTACGATCACCCTTCACTGAAAGAAAAATACAGTAACTATATTTAAGTTTTATACGTAAAAGTAGATATATTATAATTGAACAAAATTAATCCTTATCGTACCAGCTACAATTTAGTGCATCATCCATAACAAACGAGAATCTGTCCGTTTTTTTCATCTATTCAGAATGATTAAAACTATCTCTAAAAATTTACCAACATTCTTTCAACTTTCTAGAATAAATATTGGCATTTCATTTTGGCAAATAATAAAATGTAGTATAATTTATAATTATCGATAGACTCAAAAACTTACACGAACAGGAATCGTTCGGTCACTAATGACCTCCTCTTATACGGTAAGAGTTAAATATATGTATAGTTGAATAAAACTAAAAAGTTTTACATATTACACTCCAGCATTAGTTTATATTGACTTACATTTTTTACTTATTTTGATTTATTTCTCTGAACTCTTATTATTCGAGATAGATATGGTTGAACATAACTATTTTATAGTTATTATATTATATTCATGCAACTATTAAGTAATATATTCTACTATATAACTATGCTCAATACGATCTAATATTGAACTATAGGTAACTATTATACCCAATACTTAATATAGCCTACTTGTTATTTGTAGATACATAGTTACATAGTTGGTTAAAACTTTATTGCACTCGAAATAGAAAACGTTTCTAAACATTAATTGAAAATGTGAGACATTTTCAATATTCACAAATGTTTTTTACTTTGAATTTAACCATCAATTTTTAATGTTGGATTTAGCGAAAATCGCTAGATCAGATTGAGTACAATTTTATCTTATATTAATTTTATTATTTTATATAATATTATAAATTTGTATAGTTATCTCTCTATATGATTGCCACTACTATTTTTTCTTTGAATTTTGTTAAAATATTTTATCAAGTATATATTAAACTCCCCAGCCAGATCATGTATCCAATAAATTTGTTTCATCTATTATATATGCGTTAATTCGTTTGACGAACTTTTTACTCGTTCATGAATACATTTTATCGAAACGTCAATTTTGTTTGCTGGAACAATTTTTCTTAATACGGAGAAATTTAATATTGTTTATGTACTCGAAGCATTAAATTTACTGCATGTAAATTCAATATTTTTTTATACATATATGTAAAGAAATAAAAAGGGAAATTCTGATGAAATAAATTTCAAATTCACAGAATTCCGCGAATTTTATTTATCCATTTGAAATGATATTTTAAAGCGACATAGGACTTACCCTCATAATCGGTTCCGGTATTTTTGTCTCTATGAAATCGCCGACCTGTTCCATCACCCTGTAGAGCTACAAAATTTATTTCTTATTATATTAATCTTTAATAATAGAATTGATTAAAAAAAAAAAACAAAAATTCCTTTTTTATATGATAAAAGTTTACAAATTTAGCAACATATGAATATATCAAGCTTTCATAATCGTTTCAATAATTAAATTAATTTTATTAATTTAATTAGATAAAATAATATTTACAACAGGGTGGAATCTTGCGGCACTTCTTTTTTCGAAGAATCTTCTTTGGACAGCTTTTACCTCCATTCTCGGCTGAAATCTGTTTGCAAAAAAAATTTTAGATTTACGTTCATTCTTTTACAACGCAATACGTGTATACATATACGTATAATTTCTTTGATTGAAGGATTTACGAATAGTATTTATTGCTCGTTGAAATATTATTGTGTTTTGTCGTAAGCATCGAAAAATTTTAATAAATACATGAATAAATTTCTAATAATACCACAATTGTCCTGGTGCTCATAGTGTATCCACGACAGTTATCACAATGAGTCCATTTACTCCATTCGGTGACCTGACAGTCCACTTTGCCATTTTCATTTGATTCCATTATCTGACTGCTCGCTTGAATGCCTTTAAAGTTTTCCTTTTCTGTAAAGATGCGCAAGATGATCGTCAGCGAAGCAGAAATTTCTATGCATTGCATTTCTCGGCTAATGGTTTTTAAATTCGTATTGTCCGTAAAAACAGAATATACGTATTGTGTGAGTGTATGTGTATGTGTATTCATAATGGATCTCTATCATAAATATTGATTTGATATTAATGAGAAATGATTTATTTTTATATAAAGCAATTAATTATCACCGTGCTGCGCTCTCTTCGCTTTCGTGCTGCGTTGCTCCTGAACGGGAATATGATAGCTGAGGACGCTACTAAGAGACACCTTCAAGTTTTTCATAATTGTCGACATATTGGTCCTCAATTCTCCTGAATTTGTTAGTAAGCGTGTGCAAGGTATAACACAAATTGATTATTCGTGAAAAGATAGTTTACTGATAATGCGGAAGTCAGAAGCGTTATATGTGATGCAGATTAAGAATTCATCAGACGAAAAAGCGCATAATGTTTGAAATCCTTAAAGGAATAAAATAAAGGATTATGCTTAGTTTTATAGGGGAATTTGGGCCCTGGATGAGCAACTTTGAGACATGCCTAAAATTTTAAGAAAAAGAGAATCAAAAATTTCATAAGCCCAACTTTATAAGAGAAGTTTCCTGAGTGCTAGAACTATCCAAAGTTTGCTATTAATAATATAACCATGTATCATTAGTCTTATCCAATTTCTCTGTGTTTAGGGCATCTCCCTGCGGTGACGGCGGTATAACAAATTGTACCAAAGACATTGTAATATCACAAAGTAATATCTAAAATGTATTTGGTACAGTTCATTAATCCGGTTATATGGTACCTGAGATATGCCCAATACTTTGACGAAGACATCCATATGCCAGCAAGAATGATGTTTTTTTTATTTTTAGAGTTCCGATGAGGAAGCTGAAGAGAGATAAGGTC